CCTTACCCCGGTAGGGTGCATCTTTCAGCGAACCTCTATGGCTAGCAGCATGTTAGCCACTTCATTTCTCTCTCTCTCTCTCTCTCTCTCTCTCTCTCTCTCTCTCTCTCTCTCTCTCTCNCACACACACACACACACACACACACACACACACACACACACACACACACACCGTCGTTTTTTGCGATAGGGCCACAAAAGCCACTTGCTTCAAATCCGAATTTCCGATGCAAGGGCACGACGGAAAGATGAATGCTGCTCATGACGGCATATTGAACAGGGACCCGTGAAATGGGACTGGCCGTCCAGTAAGGGCACAGCGGAAAGCTGCGCCGCTTCCTGACAGGGGCATGCACGAAAGCTCAGAGGCCGCGACAGGGTAAGTGGTCCGCCGGGAGGCAAAATAACGGAAATTACAGGGGCGCCAGACAAATTTCCCCATAAAGAAAAGAACAAAAACATAAAAGAAGAGCAAAGACAAAGGAAACACAGAAAAAAGAAAATAGAAAGAAAAAAAGGAAAATAGAAAAATAGAAAAACGGGGGTGACGTGTGACACAGTTTTATGTTTTTTTGGAAAATACAAAGTGATTTTTCATTTGTCTCTTTTTTGTTTTTTTTTTAAAGGCTAATTCTGGACAGGACAGCCTTTCAGGCCTTTTTTTATTGTCATTATAGTATTACGGGGAACCCCGTAGCAGCCACATCCGTGCTCAAGCCTCCAACGAGGGAACATGCGGGAGCTGCACCCACCAGCAGGCGCGATACCTGCAACAGCATCCAACGAGGGAACATGCGGGAGCTGCACCCACCAGCAGGTGCAATACCTGCTACAGCAGGTGGGCGATACCGGCCAGGGGCCAGCCGGTAGCATCAGGACCGAGCTTCTTGGATGGGCCAGTCACTGTGCCTCCCCTCCGGTCCCCTCCCCCTATGAACATCAGCAGTCTTACCAAGCTTGCCCAGGAAGGTACATGAGGCCAATGGGGATTGAACCCAGACCTCCTGAATGCCACTTGCGTGCCTTACCAACTGAGGTAGTCCGCTGGATGATTTTTTATTTGCATGAATGGATAGTTTTCTGATTTAAAATGAATTGAAATAGCACATAAAACTATGAAGAACAGCTGTGCACCCGAATTCATGGGTTGGTACGATCTCCTTCACGTAAGTCTTCATAGTGATGTACCGTGGCAATAAAATGTGTCCACGAACACATTCATGCGGATGAACAAGTAATGGGTATTGGGATACATTCCTCGCGATGTATCTCATGATGCCTTTAGCAGGCCATCCGACGGACGCGGAAGCCTTCCTGTCAGATGCACCACAATATTCGAATCTCACATTTCAGGTTCTATTTCTCAGAGCCAAAAAAAAAAAAACGACGTCTGGAAATCAACCCCCCCCCTTTAAAGCCCATAAAATCCTGACTTCCTGCCCACGCAAAGCCACGAGCTGTCATGTCCAAGTTAGTCCAACTTCGTTTTTTTTTTTTTTTGATGCATCTCATTGGACGGGAGGTGGGCATCTTTACAGTCCCCGCTCGGAAACTACCAGGCCGTCGAGATCCGATCCATTCGACGGCCGTACTGAGTCACTCGATGCCACACGTGATCGAAATCCTGAACGGCGTGGTAGAATACCTTGCTACTGGGTCCAGGCCCCTGGAGACGACATACATCCTTGAATTCCCGGGTCCCTTAGCTAAGATTTTGGCGTGGGCACTTTCCACGAATTATCACATGTGTGCGTTGTCATGTTGGCTGGTACCAGACAGTTGCTTTTTTTGAGTGTATAGCGAATATGACAACACACACACACACACAGGCACACACACACACACACACAGTGTGGCACAACAATGCATTTTTGTTGTGGACTAGTGACCAGCGAACATGACAACGCACACATGCGATAATTGTGTGTGTGTGTGTGTGCCTCTGTCTGTGTCCCTGGGTGTGCTGTGTGTGTGCCCGTGTGTGTGTGTGTGTGTGTGTGTGCTCGTGTGCATGTCTGTGCGTGCGTGCGCGGGCACTCATGATTCCCGAGTGTTCTTGTGCTTCTTTCGTATATGCCCTGGGTACTACATGCTCCACTGCCTTTCCCTCCAAACCAGGGGCTTGCCTCCTCGTTATCTTCTCCTGCTCGCCAGCCGAACCCTCCGTCCCTCTGTCCTCCTTTGTATTTTAGTGCTTTTTTTTCTGTAACTGCTGGGGGTGCATAATAACGGAAGGTAGTTTTGGCATTTCCTGGGTGATCGTAGAGCACGAGAGCATAGCAACTGCAGAGTGGCAGGCTCTTCTAGCTCCGCAATTCGCACAGACAGAGAAGATAACATTACTGTAATACGGCTGATGCCGTCTAGCATTCCTACCCCTCTCCACGCATCGTCACGTTGGCATTTAGCAATGACATAACGTCTCGTACCATACAAGACTTCCACAAAGATTCTGAGAACACGAAGCCAGAAGATACCGAAATCCAAGGACCATATAATTAAGTCCAGCCACTCCGTTCTGTAATACGAGGATGCAATTACACAGGGTATAGGAGTGAGGAAAGGAGGAACCTATTCTTCGAAAGCACTTCACGGATGAGAGACTACACGCGGCAGGAATAGGGAAGAGGGGAGGATGAGTGGGGAAGGGAAGGGAAGACGAGAAAGACGAAGAGATAGGGGGAAGGGGAGCCATAATGGAGGAGCAAAACGGAAGAGGGAAGAAAGCGGAATTAGAAGAGTAAAGAAACCACGAAGATAAGGCAGGCTCGAACTTCGTGCTGAACTTTGTGATGCCCACGCAGGAATCATGCATGATTGGAATCTGCATGCTGGGAGATGGCAGATGCAGTCTAGCTGTATTGTCAGCGCACTCATGAATTCTAGCCGTGATCATAAAACGTTACGGTAATTTGGATTTCCGTAACTTGGATTTGATTTCCGTAATTTGGATTTGATTTCCGTAATTTGGATTTGTCGTTGTGTGTGTAGGTTGATGCAGGAGCATCGTTTGTGCATTCAAGAGCTGCAATCCTTTCGGCTCGTGAACATCCTAATCCAGGACAAGAAAGAAGAAACTTAGGGGGGGGGAAGCAGTGAAAAAAAGCTTTGCGTTAAGCGGACATCGGACGATCCTGGCTGTTAATTAATCCGTTCACCGTGCTAACCAAGCAGCAGCCTTGGGAAGTTGGGAGTACAGCGAAGTTTGTGGGGAAATCATCAACCCAAACCGGCTCATCAACAGGGGATACAGTTTAATCTCGTTTTTTCGTTTCTGGTTTCGCTCTTTCTTTTACTTCTTCTTTTTTCTGTTCTATAATGACGAACAAATTTCCTGATTGAAACAAACGAACCAGATCAGAGGACCACTAGAATCATCCCTGGAGCCAAGTCCCATGTACTGGGAGGGGGATCACCTAGTTCTCGAGCATTTGTTGAAGCGGCCAAAGTATGACCACGAGATTTCCAGATCGGACGGATCTGAACGACCGGGACTCGAGAACTGGTCGATCCCGCCAATTGTGGGATCACGCTGCCGTTTCTCGAGCTCCTGATTTGTTGGATTTCGCTTTCGCAGCCGTCTGTGTACACAGTGCATGCTTTCCCGGAGTGCATAAGAGTTGCAATCCCAGCCAGGGGAGACGTCACGCTATGCTTAGAGTGCCGTCTATGATCGTCAGCATGCACACAAACATAAGGGGATAATTTGGTGGAAAGCGCCTACTGGGAGATCTCTGCGCATAGTCTCGCTTTAATCAATCACCTGGATTGCGAGAGAGACTTTTCGCACGAGCCATCGCCCGATGCGTGATCTATCATCTCCACAACAGTTACTCAGGTTCCAGCTCCGACTGCTTTCCTCTGTTGTGAAATGGAAACTTACATGTATGCTTTTGAAGCCCCTGTGCCGCTTGCCGGCTATGATCCTGAAATCAGCGAACATAGACGGTCAGGATCAAATAGCACTTTGGCAGCTTGCAGACACCCGCAGTGGGACCGTCCGGGTTGCCCTGATTCGTCATATCTGTAACGGTTGATTAAATTTTGTATGGTGATCTCCACGGTGAGAAATGAAGAATCAAGGTATGTGAAATCTCATCCATAAGCATGCCAGTGGGTGAATGGGTCTTTTCCAGCGACAAGCAAAACGGACAAGAATGCCGAGGAAAAAAGAGACGAACGAGATGGGGGAAATATTGCAAAACACGCGCCCGGCAAATGAAACAGACAGAAACGAGATCAGAGAAAACCCAGCAATGTGAACGAGCCATCAAGCATGGCGACAAACTCTTACGTAGGAGAAGGGACAGACAACTCCCGAGAGGCAATTTTGAACTCTTCTTCGGGCGGAGGGGGGCAAGAGGGTGGGGCTTTGGGCTGGACGAGGAGAGGGATTTTCGGCAAGTGAGCACATTGGCAAAGGAAGCTCCGGGACGATGCAAGTGGGAAAGCAAAGAGGATTAACAACAGGATGACACGCGCAAACCAAGAAAGGCTCCACTCCACAAAATGGGGGCACAGAAAAGGTAGAACGGAAAAACGAGAGGTCGGTAAGTCTTTCCCCATGACAACAAATAAGATTCCGTTCAAAACAGAAACTGAGGGATTGAGTAACCATGTAAAGCGCAAAGGTTACAAATTGAAAGAGCGCCCAGAGAGCACACGAGCTCAGTACCTTGAGCAAAATCTCATTCCGCGAAATTCGAAATCCTTACACAATACGGTACCACTAAGTCATTGAAAACTCCCTCCTCGTTTTCCTGGACGTCAATATCTAGGCAACACCAAGAAGAAAGAGAGAAAGGCAGTCTCCAGCATACGATCAAGAACACGAACAGAAGGAAAGGGTGTGTGTGTTTGGAGGGGGGAGAGAGAGAGAGAGAGAGAGAGAGAGAGAGAGAGAGAGAGAGAGAGAGAGAGAGAGAGAGAGAGATGCTTCGGCTAAGCTGTCTGGGACATCGTTACTCCCGCATCACTGACGGAAGGTCTGTAGACTCAGTGGACATTCTACTGCTTGATTACCTCCCACAGCTACGACTATGCAGTAATACAAAAACTTACAAATGCAGTAATACAAAAACTTACAAATGCAATCGGACTCATCGGAGAGTTTTGATACGAAGAGATGTCCTGATATAAACAGATAGTCACTACGGAACCTCGTCATTTCACACAGACTCCATTGGCCATCCTGCGGAGCCAGTGTCACCTCTTGTTTCCCCCTCTTGGTCCCCCATAACCTCATGCTCTTCTCCGGAGTCCCTCGGGCAGGCCTGTGAGGGGGGATACTTCTGAGTCCTCCCGGCATTCCTTCGCCTATCCATTCGAGGGCCCTATCCACACCGGGACTCCATCACCGCATGCACATTCCGCCAAGGAAGTCCCTGGTGTGAATATGCCCTATGGCCAAACTTAGCCGCTGGCAACTTGTGGCAAGCTGGAAAGCTGACGATGTTSGATCGCYGCCCRGAGCTTAGCACGACGCCCAGCTGATGGCGAACTCCTGCGTTAGSTTGAGACCCTGAGAGCCCACGGTCATCAKGCCGCTTTTCRGTGGATTCCCAGGATTCAGCCGCACTTCGAAGTTGAGGTKGAGGTYTCTGACGACGTTGCACACGCTGTACGCCTGCCCGCTGAACTCGTSTGTGAACTCAAAGTCACCATCGAAAGGGCCGGCGATGACGCGCTTGGCTCCAGCCGTCCMTGGTGTCCAGRGCATATTGGGACTGGTCTGAGCGACGCCGGTCACGCCCGCGTCCAGCTTGGCGTATCCGCGCATAGTGACCATCCCCAAGCCGAAGATGAAACCTGGCGGATAACTCAGATTGACCGTCACCGTGCACTTCCTCCTCAGACCGTCCAAGCCAGCGTCTGTCGACGCAGTGTAATTGCTGAACCTCACAGTGATCACTTCTCCGTCATCCGATACTGCCCCCTCCGCAGACCCTGGCGGGCAGCCATCACCTGCGTACTCGAAACCCGAGATCTTGACCGTACCCGCTTCCGGGGATGCAGCTTGTCCATGTCCATGGATAGCCGACGTTAGGAATGCGAGCAGCAGCAGGGCCGCCATGGTGGCAACGGAGGGGACTGGTGGGAACCCTGGTTGCGCCATTGTGATCAGCTTCGACGTCTAGCTTCTTCTTCCTTACTGCAGGCGGGAGGACTTCAAGTCTTCGTTTTCAAATTCTTCAGCAACCTCTACAACCACCTCCACATCTACGAAGGCTACCCTCTCGAGTGGGTGTCGGTGTGCAAGTGTAGCCGTGCTCTCGCTCCTCTCCACGGGCAGCGTGCCGAAGAGAGAGGACCCTTACTACTCTTCCTATCTCAGCTACGAATAGGTGACACACTCTGAGCTAGCAACCTCTGAATCACCTGCTCCACATTCCAGCCCCGCTGTTCCTTCCTTCATGCACAGCAGCTCGAAGGGTCTGATCCCACAATACTTCCCGTACGTAAAAAGGAGAGGTGGACCCCACTTCCTTGTAGAAGGTGGCCACGTCATTTGTCAGCGTTTTCGAATGCTTTGGGGTCTTACAAACCCTCTTCCAAAGCTTTGCCGCGAAGCAGTGGGGTCTCACAGATCGTCTGCCGCAAAGCAGTGGGGTCTCACAAATCGTCTTCCAAAGCCTTGCCGCAAAGCAGTGGGGTCCACCGGTTCGGCAGATGTAGGGAGCTCTGCCAGCCTGGCCGCATGAAGTGGCCTTGTGGAAACGTTCATGTCCACGGCGAAAACAGTTGGGGCATTTTGGAAAAGAAGTGGACCCGTGCCCTCTCCCCTAAATGAGGGCGCATTTTTTGTGGGAGTTCTTTTTGAGAGGACAGGCCTTCTCTGTCCGCGCCCAAAAAAAAAATGCCTCCACTTCTGATGCATTTGGGACCATCCCGTGCGTCCCTTCTCCTTTTTGGGTGGACCCACTGCTTTGCGGCAAAGCTTTGGAAGAATATTTGTGAGAACTCACTTCTTTGCGACCCACTGCTTTGCGGCAAAGCTTTGGAAGAATATTTGTGAGAACTCACTTCTTTGCGACGCGGCAAGCGTTTCCGCTCAGTTTTCTTTTTTTTTTTTCTTTTTTTTCTTGCCCTTTCCTCATGGTACTTTCATTGCATATTCCCACTCGGCTCCTGTTTTCTTTGCTGGCCATGTTTTTTTTTTTTTTTTTTGTACCTTTGGCGCATGGGAAAATAGGGAAAAACTGGCAGTTTTCCCAAACTCCTATAGTTTCCGAGGCAGTGCCATTGATAAATCTGATCGGCGGTTTCGGCCTCCGAAAAGGTCGAAGGCCCACCGGAGGCCCGCTATTTCCCACACGCCAAAGGTACTAGTGGTTTAAGAAACTCAAAGCTGACATCAACACAGTTGCCCCTACTGAAAACGATCTGTGGGCTTCTTTTTTCCTTTCTTTCCCCGTGAGACCACAGACAACGGCCGCCCCATGCAATTATGACAAACCGGCGTACTTTCATTGCACATTCCAACTCAGCAGCTATTTTCTTTGCTGGCATTGTGATTATCCTTGGGGACGATTCTCCAAAAAAAAAGTGAAAACAGCAGAAGGAAATTTCCTTGTGGCATCCTTGTGGCTACAGCCAAATTTTCGTAATCCCCAAGGACCTCCCGAGGTCCCTCGGAGGCCAAGGAAGCACGAAATTCGGAGCGGCGAAGGCATGCGTCGACGCACAGTTTCGGTTTGCGGGTGGTCCAGACGTGGGCCACCGAATGGGAGCATGGACATTCCTGCCCTCCACCGTCTGCGCGGCACCGCAACACCTCCAAACGGTCACCGTCCTCGTGAGGCCTCCGTCCGTCGAATCGGGCGTCGCCAGCCGGTGTCATGCGGTCTGCTGCGCTGGGTGGGCGTTGACAACGGTCGGAAATCCGAATACTTTTCCGCGCCGGCGCTGCGTTCGACGACGACAGTTTCATTTCGGAAGATCGTCGTTTTCGTCGTTTGTCGTCACGCTTTGCACGTTGGAGCACATGTCTTCCCTTGATATTTCTTCTGTCGACGGAGTTCTTCGCTGGATGGTCGGCCACTGACGTTGGTTTGTTGCCCTTTCCACGGCCCTTACATGGCCGACCTGCTGCACAGGCTGCCTCTGCTACTCCTCATTGTCGTGCTGCTTCTCATCGTTGTCTTCTTCCATGTGTGTTTTGTGGGCCTGCTCCCTGTCGCGGCTTGCAAAAGGAGATTTTCGAAGAACGGCGACAGGATGGATCGTCGACCGACCTGCGGTAGACCGGCAGGCACGACAGCGGGAGCGACCAATCGGCAATGCAGTGCGGGGTCTGTGGCGAAGCAGGCGTACGACCCGACGTTGTATGCTCACCTGCCTTCTCACGAGATTCCTCTGCCCTCGTCGGATGACGAGGGGGAAGACGTAAGGTCGTCAACTTTGCCGTTGGGAAGTGGTTCCACGCAGGATTGGGCGGCGACGCAGTCGTACAGTGGCAGGCGGGCGGAGACCCCTTGGTCTTACACGTCACTGCTGAACGAGGGGCTGTGCGACGACGACGGCAATGCAGCGGTTGATCGGAGCTTCCAGTTGTCCAGCAGCAGCGGAGCAGCGACAACTCACAATCGCATCATCAATCCCCACCCAGATGGGGATTGCATGGAGCAGACGTACGTTGGTCTGCGGGGGTCGCGAGACAGTGGTCTACCTCAATCGCTTCGCGATGGTGGCGGGAATCGAAATGTGTCATCAACGCACGGCAGAGGAGGAGTCGACAGGGATCAACACCCGGAATGGATGCGCTTATCACCTGCGTCGTGAAGCGGATTCAGGACTCCTCGAGGACTGCAGCGACAGGAGGATTTGTCTGAGGGAGCTGTGCACGTTGAACGCGATGGCAAGCAGTTATGGGCGGAGTGCAGACAGGTGTTGCGTCAAGCTGGGATGGAAACAATAACGAGAGGGGTGCAACGGCTCCACGTGGACGAACGCGATGACGCAGTTGTTGAGAAGCCCCTCGACTGTGACGACGTTGACGGTGACGAGGATTGCAACTCCGACGATTTGCCTTAGATTAGGCCCCTTGGGAGAAAATTGGGGAACGGCGGTGCGAGTGCGAAGAAGGGTCCCACTCCGAGAAATCGACGGAATAAGAAAATGGATGACGACACCGGAGGGAGCGATGGCGAGGGCGGTCGGAATTTCTGGTCGGTCAGAGACACGATTGCACTCGTGGGGGCGAAAAGGGATCAAGATCTGTATATCGCCGAGTTGGGGCACAGTTTGGCCCACATGAAGACTACCAATGGGCTGGTAACTTGGGCCGAACAACAGTGCTAAGGTTGATAGGTTGCCCAGCCATGGTGGTCGACTTTGGAATAGAAACAGCTCACAACTGACATGGAAATTGGGCACAAATTGACCTGTCTCTTATACACATCTAGATGTGTATAAGAGACAGGTATATCGCCGAGTTGGGGCACAGTTTGGCCCACATGAAGACTACCAATGGGCTGGTAACTTGGGCCGAACAACAGTGCTAAGGTTGATAGGTTGCCCAGCCATGGTGGTCGACTTTGGAATAGAAACAGCTCACAACTGACATGGAAATTGGGCACAAATTGACTGTCATCATTGACGACTACTTTTTATTTTTTATTTTTTATAAGTCCATGGTGTTGTAGAGGCCAGTCACTGAGTACACAGTGATCACCTGGAGCAGTAGGTCGTGGGTGTCCTGGAATATGAGACCACCTCTCATCGCATCCTCACGTCAATACTCCTAGTGCACCCCCAATCCCAATATCCTACCTCAGTGTGACCAGCAAGTTCATGCTCTTGGTAGTGTTCTAGTTCTCATTTGGCTGTTCAACTTCTCATGTATTAGTGCTTTCACTACTCTCCCTCTCATCTTGTCGAGTTCATGCTCTTGGTAGTGTTCCGATTTTCATTTGGGTGTTCAACTTCTCATGTGTTTGTGCTTTCACTACTCTCACTCTCATCTTGTCAAGTTCATGCTCTTAGTAGTATTCCGATTCTCATTTGGTTGTTCAACTTCTCATGCGTTTGTGCTTTCACTACTCTCACTCTCATATTTTCCAGTTCATGCTCTTGGTAGTGTTCCGGTTCTCACTTGGTTGTTCAACTTCCCATGTGATTGTGCTTTCACTCTTCCTTGTCCAGTTCATGCTCTTGGTAGTGTTCCGGTTCTCACTTGGCTGTTCACCTTCATATGTGTTTGTGCTTTCACTCTCACTTGTCAAGTTCATGCTCTTGGTAGGGTTCCGGTTCTCATTTGGATGTTCAACTTCTTATGTGTTTGTGCTTTCACTACTCTCACTCTCATCTTATCAAGTTCATGCTCTTGGTAGTGTTCCGGTTCTCACTTGGCTGTTCAACTTCTCATGTGTTTGTGCTTTCACTACTATCACTCTCGTCTTCTCAAGTTCATGCTCTTGGTAGTGTTCCGGTTCTCATTTGGCTGTTCAACTTCTCATGTGTTTGTGCTTTCACTACTCTCACTCTCACCTTGTCAAGTTCATGCTCTTGGTAGTGTTCCCGTTCACATTTGAATGTTCAACTTCTTATGCGTTTGTGCTTTCACTACTCTCACTCTCATCTTGTACAGTTCATGCTCTTGGTAATATTCCGGTTCTCACTTCGCTGTTCAACTTCCCATGTGCTTGTGCTTACCGACCGAGCCACTCCAAGCACCTACCGATCGAGCCACTCAAAGCCACTCCAGCACCTCCAACTGGTTTGCAAACGAGCCACTCCAAGCACCTACCGATCGAGCCACTCCAAACACCTACCGATCGAGCCACTCCAAACCACTCCAACACTTCAATCACTATGCTTGTGCTTAACGACCGAGCCACCCCAAGCACCTACCGACCGAGCTACTCCAAGCACCTACCGACCGAGTCACTCAAGTGCTCTGAGTGCCTACCGACCGAGCCACTCCAAGCACCTACCGATTGAGCTACTCAAAGCACCTACCGACCAAGTCCCTCCAAAAACCTCTAC